GTCGTGGTAATCAAGCATTTTTATTAGCAGCAGCTCCAATTTATGATAAATGGGTCAGAAATAATTATGAATTACAAGTTTGGCAAACATACTTGAAGATGGGCACAGAGCAAAAACATTGGGCTAAAGAAATCGTTCAACGTACAAAAAAACGTGATAATATTACAAATACTCGTTTTGTACAAAAGAAAATTAATCGATTAACCGAAAGTATTGCTCAAGCTACTGCTACCATCTCAGACTTGCAAATTCAATTAACTACATATTGGACACAAGTTAATGTGGAGAAATTAACTAATACAATAGCTGAAAATGTAGCAACTATTGTATGTGAAAAAATAAATAATAATAAAAAATCAACTACAACAACAGCTGCACCAGCAGCAAGTCCTACAACAACAGCAGCATCAACTACAGCTACGACAACAAATACTCTTAAAAATCAAATTCGTGAGCCTATAGAAAAATTAGAAAAATATATATTAAAATACGTTTATACATATACACAACATGTGAAAAAAATAGCCGAAACTAAAGTTCAATTAGCCAAAGCTCAATCAGATGAATTTAAAGCTTTAGAAGAATTTGAACAAATAGCTACTCCATCTCAATGGAATATTCATTTAGCTTTAAAACCTAGAATAAAACTTTGGTCAACCAAAAATAAAAATTACTTGGCTGCTCTTAAACGTGTCGAATATGATATGCCTCCAAAATTTATTGAAAAAGTTGATTTATCATTTAAAATTGATGAATCTATTATCAATCAAGATGAAGCTCAAGCTACATATAATCAAATGAGACAAATTACAAAAGAATTTCGCACACAAGCAATGACATTATATGTACAATCGTTAGGTAGAGAAAATGAATTATTATCAAATGAAATTAAACGTATTATTGAAGGCTTTCCTCAAGAAAATGATGAGGGATTTGATGCTGAACCTGGACATGCAGCATTTAAACATTATCATAATTTACGAGAAAAAAGATTAAATTTAGAAGCTGAACAATCGATTCATTTTTTATCCGAAGAGCGAGTCGAGGGCGATACAAACGATCCGGTAGAAATCGTTGCCCCGACTCTAATTCGATCGCTGGGCGAGGAATTCTTGCTCCAGCTATAATTAACCAAGCACAAATTCAATTAACCGAGGAAGAACATGAATTACTAAAATTAGGCCCTCGGTTTATTTATAATGATCCAAAAACGGCATCTCGACGACGTACAATTGAGTTGGCTACTCTTAAACGAAAAATTGAAGCTCGTTTCTTTGATAAGAAAGTTAGCCCCGGTCGTCCAGTCGAACAATTTATTGCCGAATTAGATGTTCTGCTTCAAAAATTACATAATACTCCTGGAAATCCTCGAAAATTAAGAAATATATTAAATCAAAATAACACTTATGATAATTTAGTTTCTGCTATAGAATCAAGTCAGTCTCAAGATATTAATTCTAGAATTATTATTAAAAAGAAGAAAAATTATGGGCGATTGATTAAACGTTTAAAATATAAGCTTCATTTGAAAAATATTGTTCTTCAAAAATCTGATAAAAACAAAGTGTTCCATCTAGGTAAACTTGACGATTATCGCAAAAAATCAGAAGAATATATGGAGAAAACAAAGGCCTATAAATGCTTAGGTACTGAAGACCCATTTCCTGATCTAATTCATCGTACTAATAAATACTTATTAGATTTAAGATTAGCCAAGTGGGTTACTCAAAAACAATATGAAAAACTTTGTATTAATTCAAATGAAGTTGAACTTGCTCATTTATATTATTTGCCCAAAGCTCATAAACCTGGTACTCCTCTTCGTCCAATTATATCGGGTCTGAAACATCCAACAATTAAAATTTCAAAATTTCTTGATGAATTACTTCGACCTTTATTTGATAAGATGGCTGCAAAAACGACTATTAATTCTGGCTTTGAATTAGTCAAACAGTTGCAACAATGGTCAAGTATTAATATACGTCAAGAAACTTTATTTTGCACAATTGATGTGACAGACCTTTATACAATGGTACCTCAAACTGAAGGAGTACTCTCCTTAAAGAAAATGTTAGACTACTTAAAATTAAAGCAAGTTGGTGGTCTTAAAATTGAAACAATTATTAGATTAAGTCGATTTGTTATACAAAATAATTATTTTTCTTTTAATGGTCAATTCTATCATCAAGTTCGTGGAGGAGCAATGGGTTCTCCTCTTACTTTAACTATAGCTAATTGTTATATGTTCTTTTATGAAAGGCAGATAGTTAAACAAATTAGCAATAGTGGCGGTTTATATTTTCGATATATTGATGATATATTCTTAGCAATTAATTGGCCTGCTCGACATTTATTTAAACAAATCGACAGATGGAATCATTTTGATGAAAATATCAAATTATCAGAAAATATAGGTTCAACAGCTGATTTTCTTGATTTACATATAGAAAATCAGGATGGTCAATTATTTACTACAATTTTTCAGAAACCATCTTATGAACCATATTATCTACCGTTCAATAGCATTCATCCGTTACACATGAAAAAGAATATAATATTTACTATGCTACTTCGTACTATTAGGTA